GGAATTCGGCTGGATCTGTTCCATGGTGCTGCTGCTCAACTTCCAAATGAAGTGTGCATCCCGCTGACCGAGACGAAGAACGTGGTGGATAGTATGGAGTACAGTGCACACGTCAATGCTGGACCGTCCGAAGCTCTAGACGTACCTGGCCACGAGTCTCGCGAGTATCGACTAGCGAAACGAGTGGCGAGACTGGAAGAGCACGTACTGTGGGTTCGACGTACAGAGAAGGTCATCCCATCAGTGACAAGGTTTCGACCACTGCGCATCAGATTGACGAACGTCTAGGAACGGACGGCGTCCGTTCCAGCGTTCGATAGACAGGCCATGCTGGTTCCTGTCGGATATCTGCCGTGAGGCGAGGGCTACGTGCGCCTAGACTCCAAGAAGTACAAGGACTGGCAAGTGCTTGCCTACGAGAACTGTCGCGACCGACAGTTTTTCAAACGGGAGTGCGAACTCTACGAACAATGGCTGGCGACCCAACCTCCATCGGTTGAGCGGCGAGCATATCCGACACTCGCTGGAGTCATGAAGAGGTCACCGGAAGACGCGTTGGACGTATCGGCAGATCGGCTGACGTGTGCAGAGCATTGGGAGAAGATATTGAAGCAACGAGAGTGAGATGAAGGTCGCCTAACCTCTGGGGTGACGGACGAGGACGCGTTCGAGATCCGATTCTCCGCAGACTCGTCAGACAGCGGTTCAGGAAGCGATGGTGACGACAGCGATGCCAACGAAGAGTCGGCAGGATGTTCACAGGAACTACAAGGTATAACGAAGGTGGTGAACACATCGCCGCGGGTCCAGTCGGTGCCTGGTTCCGAAGGTGATCTATCAAGTACAGCGATTGGTGAGACCAAGATAGCCTCGGATGCCAAGTGTCGAGACAGTGGCTCATCAGCCTCTTACATTGCGACTAGGGAGTGGGAAGGCAGGACCGCCGGTCGAGAGGAAGTACACGCTTCGCTAAAAGAAATGCAAACAAGGGCGAGCGTTCGTGTGGAGTCTGAGGTCGAGGCCAAGTCGACAAAGGAAGCAGTGCTGGACAAGACCTACATGTTGGTAGCTCGAGTGTTGACGACCGAAGAAAATGAGGCTGTAGGCGATCCAGGGGTGGACCATTATGAACACCCAGCTAACAAGATCGGCTTGGAAGACTACGCAAAGGAGTTAGCGTTCCTTCCCGACTTCACGGAGGATTCTAACACGACCATCAACTACGAAGCGCCGAATGTCAAGAACTAATGCTTGACGACTGATC